GGTCTGATAGACTATGCCCCATTTGTAATCCCCTGAACAGGTGTTTTAGCAGCCACCTGCTCCAGCAGGGTAGATGTACTTATTTCTGCCTTCTGGCACCTTCCCCAGTATTGGAAGCCTGCAAGAGCTCGAGTGAAGAGAGCTCCAGAGATCTTGGCCAGTACAGCTGGTCCTGGAAGTCAGTCAGTATCTGCTTCCTTCATTTAAGCTAACCATAAGGCAGCCCACAGATTAAGGACAGAATTGAACAGATGGCATACAGCTCCTCTGCCTTCTTTTCCCAGGTTATAAAGCTGATATGAAACTTAGATTCAAATCTAACAATTCTTATCTTACTCTTATTTCTTCAACTGTATAACTGTTTAAATGGAGTTTATCATAAAAATTATTAACCAAATACCAGTGCAGGAATTCACCTTAAATAGTACCATCTCTTATTTTTCATGTTGTAATCTCAAGGTGAAAGTGAACTGAATTAGAAACAACATTATTTATGTTTGCTTTTATAGATATAGGGTGCATGCCACTTGTGGAAGCCACACTCAGTTAAATTTCACTATTTACTTTTAAGTTGTCAATAAATAGCTGTTAGCAAAGTATGTACAAAGGGCAAGGAGGGAGGCTTGTGAAATTGTTTATAAACCACATCAGAACAAGTCGACAAATTGCAGAACACTATCCACGTGGAGCATTAATTTTAGTAATTACTACCAAGTAACAGATTAGCATGTGCTATTTGTGTGATTTTGGATAAAATTCTTGGTGAAAAAAATTTCAATATGGCATTATATTTGAAATAATAGAGCATTTTTAAACCAGATTTTTTAGATATTGTTGGATTATCAGAGAAATTATGTTTCAGAATATATTCATCCTTTAAGAAGTTTGACTGCAGCACTTTTCATTTAAAAATTCAATATGGACTTCTCAATTAACACTGCTTTAAATAATTTCATGGGAGTTGGGTGCAAAAGCTGTCCCTAAAAAGGGAGCTAGGAGCGGAGGGCATTGTAGACAAACAACCGGACACTGAGGTTCTGTGACCATCCTGTAATGCTGGCCCGTGTGTCCCCTTCAGCCTGGCACTTTAGTCTCATAATTTTACTGCCAAGAACTCCCTTTTGATGGCCATATCCCATGTGAATTCCTAGGCAACTACTATAAAAATGTTAATATTCTGGGGATATTCTATGAAACCAGCAGGAGACAGTATGTTCTCTAGACTTAGCCTCAGGACTGCTTTATGTCTGTCCATCTGAGTCCTGAATGTGTTTCTGCTTATACTGAATGGGAGAACAGCAAAAGAGGAGGAAGGCTTTTAGGGAGGTTAGAAGAATGCAGATATGGTCTATTTGTTAAGATGGAATACAATGAAGGAGAGTTAGTCATGTTAGTCAAACTTAAAACCTTAATCTTGCAGAACTTTTTCATTAAAAATTCCTGTTGAAATGTATGTAATTAATCTTGCTGTGAATAATCTTTAATTGTTGCACACATAGGGCAATGGTCTTGTTGGATTGTTGGTTGAAATATGTTGTATAGCTGTAAGGAAAGATCTTTGGAACAGTATTTGATGAGACAAATTTGATTTGATTTTGCTGACAGAATCTTGGAGAAATCATCAGTTTTCCCGTCATCGTGTTTAAGTGTATAAGATGGACGTATAGCAGAAGAATGAGAAAAAAATCCATGCTACGTCCCCAGTGCAATCTATGAAATGTGTGAATTTCCATACTTACTAATCTTCTTCGTGACACATTTTTTTATTTCAGAATACTGAGCCAGAAAATGCATTCATGCAGTGGCATACAAAATTTATAACTTTATCCAAAACATACTTAGACAAATTTTAGAAATTATAAATATGGCCATAAATGTTGGTAAGAGTCTATGTAGTAGTATGGTCATTTAAAACTAAAATTTCATTCATGTTTTGAGTATACACATTTGAAAAACTGTAACCCACTCTAGTACTCTTTCTTATATGATGTGTAGTTAACAATTGGAAATAATATAAATTTATGTTCAAAACATGTATCAAGTGGAAAATAAGTTGGAAAAAATAAGTGGAAAAAAGTTTTCCAGTTTACTCTTAAAACATGATTAAATGATTGCCAAGCTACCTAATTGAAGCAAATGTCCCATAATTTTAGCTGTATCCTTGGTAGTAGAAATCTGCATATCTTCACAGGGAAAACAGTAGGATCTGGTGTTTCCATTTTATTGTTGATGCTGCCATAAAAAAGATTATGCATAGGATAGATAGAGAAGAATGATATTCTACATTTCCTGTAATACTGTCATACAAGTTGGACTAATATTTTTGTGGGCTTTTGAAAAATTGTTATTGACAAAGCAAAATGAAAACCTAGTTTCAGTACATGTTCCAGTACTTAAATCCTAATTGAGAACCTTGCATTTAGTTCAATTATGCTTCCAGTAGATAGTGTCACAGGCTTAGTATTACACTGAGTGGAGACATGCAAAATAGTAATCTAGAAAGCATCCTTACCGGGTGCTATCTTTTCTGGAATTTAATATTTTTAAAAATTGCATGAGAGGTGATACTGTGGTGATAGGGTTAATGCAAATCATTATGACAGATAAAAAGCAAGCCATAGAAAAATTACTAATTTTGCATCATATTTTTAATGCTATTAAGATTATTTCCCCATGTTTCTAATCATATGTCACAGTCTTATTTTCTGGAAAAATCCCTTTGCCCAGGATTTCTCTCCTGGGAAGCTGAGAAGCCTCAGAGAAAAAGGAATTTCAATATTATCTCATTCGCTTCTCCTGTGTTTTGCTGCTTTGGAATGTGGATGGAGATTGTTTATCCAACAGGTGATTGTCTCATTGGTTTCATGTGAATTGTTTTGACTTATTGGCCAACTGGGACCAAGCTGCTTCGGACTCTGGAGAGAGTCACGAGTTTTCATTATTATTTTTTAGCATTCTGTAAGTATCCTTTCTGTATTCTTTAGTATAGTTTAATTTAGTATTCTTTAATATAATATAGTATCATGAAATAATAAATTAGCCTTCTAAGAACATGGAGTCAGATTCATCACTCCTTCCTGCCATGGGGCACCCCGCAAATACAATAATCATGTAGTAATACCCATAACTGAGGGTGCAAGGATTTCTTAATGGAGGGAGGGTGTGTTTTTATTTAACTTTTTTTTTTTAATCAATATATAACAGTAAGAAGCAATATGCCATGCAACAGAGCCATGACAAAAAAAGAAGGACATTCTGCCCTGTTTTTAAGAGCAGTACTTGTCACCTATGTGATGATTTTCTTGATCTGCTTTCTGTTAAAAGTCTCTAAAAGTCACCACTATAAAACATGGCACTCTGTTCTACCACATTTTTATGTATATGATTACAAGCAAACCTGTCATGAGACCATCACTTCTGTGACTACTCCAACAGGACACTTCTACAGATTTCTGATAAAAAGCCATTTTGAAAATAGTCAGGAAGAAAGTATTTGTTCGCCCCTTTTGCTTTACTGTTTTCCAGATGTGATCAGAAAGAGGAAGTTATTCCACTAATGGATCAGAAGATTGCTCTATGAATTAAATATCATTCTAAAAATACAGCTCCTATGTCTGAAAGATATAAATTCAAAATACAATGTGGATATATTTAAAAAGCCTCTTTAAAATCATAAGGAATCGAAAGATGCATAGTTTTGTGAGATTCTGATGATGATAATATGTGAAAGAAAGAATCATCAGCATTCTATTTTCATATGTTGGTCTACATCCTATTCTTATATGCAGACTTAGTTAAATAGTTAAATAAATACCCACTCTTGTGTCTGTTCAAAAAGACCTCTTTCTGTGACCATGATGTAAACTAGATCTCTAAAATACAGGCTTTCTACTGAAAAGGTGAGCATACGGCACATTCAGTTTCAAAGTGTGCTTCACATTTTGAACAAGTTTCTTGATGCAATAATTGTCAGCCCCAAATGCAACCCATCAGTTTCAATTGCCAAGGAGACTAGGGAGGAGAATCCTTCAATATGAATTCCAAAAACTTTAACATATTTTGAGTATTTTAAATATGTATATGTATTTATCCTTAATGTACAATTCAGTAATCATCATCTCCCAAGAGATACATGATCTTTATTTAAGGCAACAGATGCAAGGTAAAAAAATTGCAAGTGAAGGGCAGAAGCTGAAAAACAGTATAAGAAAAACAGTATAAGAAAAAGGACTCAGAACCCCCAAGTGTAAACTTTCAATGAAATGTCTGAGTAGAATGAAATTATCAACTTCAATAAAACCTTACATTTGTGTTGGGATGTGTTCAGAAAATTAGAAAGAGCTTGAGGCAGCATCTAAAAGGGGAATTTAGGTTTTACTTTGCTGTGTCCTGTTGTCTACTGGAATCCACATTACAAATTAAATCTATAAATTCTTTATGAACATTGGTTTAATTTTTATGGCAGAAATTCAAGAGTTGAGAAACCTGGTTGGAAAGACTTTCTACTCTTAACATAGAGCAGTTAATGGTAAATTCTGTCTTCTGTTGGTTATAGAACATTGTGGGAGAAAGCTAGCCTCGGTTTCCAAATGTGAGATCATTACATTTTTGTATAGGTAATAAAATAGTCATCAAAGGAAGGACTGTAACTGAGTAATATTTTGCTGGAATGCCATAGTTCCTTACCTATTGAGTTAGTCTCTCAATCTCTTTTACCTCTCATACTAAAAAAAAGCAATCCTTTCTATGTTTCTAGCCTGTAATATGTCTTTCTGTTTAAACTTATAGCCAGTTTAAACAACCAATTCAATGCCATCTTTGCTATTGCATTGTCTGAAAAGTTGGATTTTGCTTTCTAAAATACAATGTATAAGAAAATAGTCCTTTTGATTTTTACCTTTATAATTGCAAGTACATTCATCCAAATACATAAAACTAGGTAATAAATACCTCTGTGACAGTCTTTCATAATTTTTATTGACCTCATTCTTTCATTTGAGTTTGCTTTTGAACAGATACATACCATGCCTAATGAAGCTCTGAATTCTAGGATAGGAGTTAGAAACATGAAGAGGTGTTTGAATATGAGGACAGCGAGCATGCTGTGAGTAATGAATTGATTATGGGTTGGCTGAGACAGGAATTACAGCTCCAGGGTGTGCTAAATCTCTCAGTCTACCTAAGACTGTTTCATAAACCTATAAGAGAAAAAGTAGTTCCAAAATAACCTTTTTTTTGCATGTTCTCTCTCATCTTCACACCCAGAGTTTGGGTGGTCTTTTAGGAAGGACCTTGTGGCCTAGCATGCATGACTCTTCAGTCCATTTCTTGTATAGTTAATATGCCTGTTGAATATGTGGGTGTGAGTCAAAAGCTGATTTCATGACCACATTATTATGCTTGAATTAATGAAGAGTTAGTTCCAGTTAAAAAGTTGTGCAGATATTCTGTCTTGACTAGTATTTATCCAAGAGCTTGAAGTTGCTCATAAGTTATAAAAACATGCTACTTTTTCCTTTTCTTTTACTATAATTTGGAAGTTCTGATCTCTTCTAATGAAGAGAACTTACATCAAAATATAATAATGTATTTATTTAAGAGTATTTAAGACATAAGTAATATATGACACTATGTTCTTTGCTTGTGTATTCTAGCATAACTTCATTGACTTGATGACCTACTAAAAACTGCTTTATATACAGGATTCATGCTGTTAATTAACATCCACCTCTTTTTCTCAGTTCCACTCTGACTCTTTTTCCAGACTCATTAGAAACAAAGGTACCATTTGAATAAAACATTTCAAAAGAAGATCTTCTTGTCTTCTCTTCTGGACCACCCTGGGAAGAATGTATAAAGATGTACCACTTCTTTGATCAAGAGCATTATAAGCAGACTTAAGCAGTTTTCTAAGTCCCTCTTGGGTGTACGTGTGTACTTGCCATTCACACATCCTGAAATGAGATGGAATGTGAAGGTACATTTTATGCTTTTCTAGAGCTGTTCTCAGATTAGGAAAGTATACCTCAGCTTCTGTCTGCTAGATGTTAATTGTATTATGTAACAATCTGTATGGGTTTCATCAAGTACAAATCATTCAGTTTTTCTAATCTGATTCTGAAGTACTTTCAGAGTACCAAATAATCACTGTAGATAGAATATATACAGGCTGAGACTGCTGACCTCATGAGACTTCCAGGTGCTCCAGATTACTTAAGGTGCTCAAACCATTAGGTGGTGTGTGAATCTTTACTCAGCTGGCAGTCCAATTTTATTCCTGATGTATAAGTCAAAAGTGTGTAAAACATTACAACAAAAGTCAGAAGAGTTTGTATGTCCTTTTTACTGGAACACAATATTCTTCAAAAAGGCAGGGAGGGAGGCAGGGAGGGAGGGAGGCAGCTCCGGAGGGAGGGAAGGCTGTCATCTGCAGCAGGCGGGGAGTCGGAGGGAAGTTAGGAAGTGCACCAGGAATAAAGTGTAATTTTCCCTCATGAATTATTCATCGCATCTGGCTTGTCTTTTAATTTTTGCATAATGGCTTCGCTAATCCCCGATCAATTAATGAGGGGGGGGGGGGGAGGGGGGGAGGGAGGGAGGGATGAGCAAGTTTATTTGGTCTACCTTCATTTAGTTTATCTTAAATTAACCAAAAGGGAAACAATGTAAATTACTTTACAGCTGAAAAAAAGATTTTACAGACTCATCAGAATTTCTGAATTCTTTCCTGAGAATAAGCATGCACTTCTGGTGCCATGATAACTCAACAGCTGGAGAGTGTTTTTTACTATTACTGAGGATCAGGTTGTCCTTTTGTGTGAGAATACGTAATTACCACTATTTGTGGTGGCAGTTCTGTACTGACAACTGTAATTCGCTGATTCTTTTTAGAGCCATGTTGGGTTCTCAATCCATATATCCAAGTAAAACTTGAGAAGATGCAAGCAGCAATAGCAAAGCTGACTCAATCATCATTTATGCTAATTCAACTTGTGAGAGGCTCATGTCCTGTAATGGTAGAGTATTAGCAGGTTACTTGTTTTGTATTGATATTAGGTATAATGTTACTTTTGTCTGAGAGCATAGCTAAGCAGAGGAAGGATATTCTGGTGTCTGTGATGGCAGTTTGAATTTGGGAAGCGTGGAATCAACTCTTCCAGAACCTCTTTTAGATGACTATGGGGATTTCACTTTGCTCATGCATCAATTCCCTGTCTGTAGAATGAGATGGTATTTCTCTACGGCAAATTCTCTGTGAACCAAGCACTGTGGTAACAGTGTCCATATGAGTACCATGGAGAGTAAACAAGGCAATGTTACTATAATGGACTATAAATATGTAGTGGCTTTTAGTAAGTTACAGTCTAAAGCAAAGAAACAGACTCTTAGATAACTTCACTTTTGCTAGAAATCCATTTTAATTAAAGTTTAGAACTTTCTTCTTCTTTCTGTCCATTTTTCTTCTACTTCTTTAGTAGTTGTGCCAAGGTATCCATGTGTGTTTCTTCCACTGTCATCTGGCTCATTCCCAGCAGATGCACACAATCTGTTTTACTGTCATTGACAGGGCTCAGTTTATGAAAAAAGTGTGGCAGAACATGCTGCTGTAGTCACTTATACAAGATTCTCTTTCCTAAGTAACTGAGAAGAAATTAATTCTTTTTCTTTTTTTCCATATTGTTCAGTCTTGGGGGTTTATCCAGACTACTTTGCATTGGGTTGAACAGGGTGTTTGTTTAACACCTTAGATTTCTTTTTTAATTCCTACTTCGTAAAGTTAAAATTTGTCAATTGTATGTATATAGAAATCACCACAGAATGCTGACAGACCTCAGTTTCAAGTGGCGGCAGTAATTCTGGCCATTCAGGAATAAATGTAGTATCCCAACAATTTTAGACAATATTATAGTGTTTCTTTTAAGTTTTATAATATAAATACAAATTTTCCAATTTATAAATAATCCTATCATCCAAAGATGTGCACTCTTAAGTATCCTGAATATATATTCATTATACAAAAGGATTTTATGTACAGGGATAATGTGTTCCTTCTCATGCAAAGTTATAGTTAGTAAGAGACTGAGTAGAAACAAATCAAAAAATGAAAAGTTTGACTTTATTGCCTACAGAATAAAAACTATAAACCTTAATGTTATCACTTATTGTGATATTGTGGTAACAGGTCTTAACATAGATTAGGGCCTGTGCATGATGCTGTGCAAACACACATTAATGAACGGCTCTACCTTTGGCCTTAACAGCATGAACAAAAAGAATAATAAAAAAGAACATAGATGGAAAGAAATGAAGATTTTTTTTTACTATTATGAATGTCTTGCCTTTCTTCCCAGTGTTCAAAAGGAAGACTTGGCATAAGTAATTAAACTTTATGGAAGGTATCTAACCAGAAAAATACTATTTATTAGGTGATGGGGTGTTCTCACTGTCTTTGCCAAAGAAAGAAATTAATCAACAGCTCAAATTTTATGTTCCTTTTTTATTGCTTTCTACCTTTATTCCAATGAAGGCAGGGATGACAACAGCAATTTCCACACTGGGCTACTAAGTTTAAAGTGTAAACTGTTAAAAAAACTCTAATATTAAATATGTATAGGCATTTTACATGTTTATTAAAAAAGAGAATTTGGTTTACAAGCTGATATTGCTTGTAGTTCTTTTATTTTGACCTAAATTTTCCCTTTTAATTGTACTTTGTTCGGACGGGTTGATGGCTCTGGCTTCTTTATTTTTTTTTATTCTACAGCTAAAAGAAAAGCTGTTCAACAGCTAGAATCTCTATTAATTCCCCAAATTGAAAACTAGTTTAGTGAGCCTAGTGTCTTGGCTGGCTTTGAAATATCTGCATATATACATTAACATATATTAAATATATTTAAGTAAATTTATATTTTTAGGATGTATTTTTAAACACTATTTCATTTTGGGAAATGCCTTTATATACTTACAACTCTGAATTCCCATTGTTGTCCCTCAGTGGCAGATTTTGTATAATTGATAGTTTATTATGTTAAAAAAGCTATCTGGAAATATGCAACAGTGGTAGACTGACATTAACTAGGCTAGTGGTTTTTCTGTAAAATTGTTTCTTATGATCATGTACATATGATCATATACATATGTGTGTATATTGTACATGTGTGTGTGCTTTTTATATAAATATTAATGGTTTTCACACTATGCATGCTGCTGGGTATGCCTTAAATTGTAAATAAAACTGTCAAAATGTCTCTTCAATTAGACCTCATAAAAATAATCAGTCCATAAATACGTGGTGTTCTTTCTCCACACACATATATATACAGTTACTATATAAAATAAAAGTCTTTCTTCCATTGATCTAAACTTAAAATCCTCTGAATTATGGGTCAAAACCACAGTATTTTTAGTGGGGTCTTTATATGTGCTTTTTTTATGTATTGGCATATTTTGATATAAAAAAAAATAAATGTAGGAATACCAAACCTAATTTCTCTTGATCGTATAGACAGGCTGAATTAAAAGATGACTGTAACCCCTGTTTTTCTTGCATTATTTTTAATTTGTTTGCATGTTTTTTAAGGATAGTATTCTTGTATTTTGGAAAGGTCTGTTACAACCTAGACCTTCAAAGTTTCTGGAAATAATTTCAACTTTTTAATTAGTCCTAAAATTACTTTAGGATGAGATTTGTTAATGTGGGCATTTCAAGGAGACAAATAGCATCAGTGTATCAGTTATCACATACAATGTAAAAAGCAGACAGAGAAAATAGGGTCCTCAGATGATTTCTTTTACTATCTCTATGTCTTGTTTGCTAGGCTCAGTTTTAAATTCAGAAATTGTTATGACTTAGCCATTACCCTTTTAAGACTAAGATTTCAACACACCTATTAGTTGTTTGGGCAGCAAGAAGTGAAACGAATAATTTAATATATTTCTAAAAGAGTACAATTTATATGCTGATATTGAGAATTGATATTTCTCTGAAGTGTCAGGAAAGATGGTAAAGACCAAATAAAAGACTTCAGAATGTAACATTTTCTCATTATGTCACCTGTCAGCCTTGATGTTTTTTTAAATTTAAGCATATTGACTATGGTTCCTTTATTAAAAACAAAAACAAAAAAACCTCCCCTTCCAAAAAAGAAATTATAATTTAAAAAGCCTATAAAATTAATTGCAGCTTAGTACAACAATATGTTGCTTTTAGATCTAAATGCTAAACACCAGAATCTTAACACCATTTGCCTGGTATTTTATGATCCTACATGGAATCTTATCTGGTAAAAAAGATGAAATTTATACACATCTGAACTGGACAAATTAGATGATAAATTCCAAAGCTGAAAACTTACTATATAGAACTTTATTCTGAATGTTAAGCAGTTTCAGATTCTGTTTCAAACATCAATGCTGGTCTCTGCTGTAGATATCTAATAAGTAAGAAGATATGAAATAAAGAGGGTGTTTCAGGGTTTTTTTTTTTTTTTCATTTTACATAGCTGATCACTTTCTATGAAAAAAAACCAAACAAAATCTTAAGAGAACTGGTCAAATGATTGGCAGAAAAGCAATAGACTGAGAGCTATTTTTTCACAGGTACTGCAGCTTTTAATTTATATGAAGTTTTGTATTCCATTTATTTTCATCGCTACCGAATAGGAACTAGTATTTTCAGTCTCCCAGTAATGTTTCAGGAATAAACATTAATACTTAAGTGACAGTATGCACATATCTGTGTATCTTCAGATAAGCCAATTTATAGAACAGGTCAGTAAATCCTGCATATATTTCCATCTTACACTTCAACAGTAACATAAATAACTTGAGAATATCATTAAAGATATCAGTTGTATGTATGATTATACACTGGAAAATTAAGATATAATTAATATTATAAGACTAGGTTTTCTTGCTGTTAAGGAAGTAGAACAGTTGGGGCTTTTTCCTGTGAAAATACTTTCCAGTGTCCTGCCA